GAGAGAGAGAGAGAGAGAGAGAGAGGGAGAGAGAGAGAAATGGCGGCATTAAGAAAGATGGATAATTGTAATAGAAAACGTGAATCTACACTGACTCCAAAAGACAAAGATAAAAAGAAAAACCCAAAGAACTGATCCTAGATTTATACAAGAATCGATATTGTGACAAATAAGGAAAAAGGTTTTCTGTACTGGGATTTGGCTTTTCACACATGCGACACCGACTCTACGTTTTAGGTGGTGATGTGGAATTTACTTTGCACGTGTATTCAGCCATTGTAGAGTAAAGATAATTCACGATTTGTCAGCCTTTTAGGTCATGTGGTTGCCTTGGAAATGGCAGCCATTTTAAATTGTTGTAAAACAAATTAGACCAAATTCAAATGCTATCTTCTCCAAAGAAAAAAATGGGTTGAATTGTCTATGGCACATTTTATGAGTATCAAGATTGGAATTAAACCTAAAGTTTAATTGAGCTGTTTTGTATGAAGTAGATTACTTTTGTTCTCAAATTATAGTTTGGAGTATAGATAAAACACATTGTTTTTAACACTCTAAAGACACAGTACAAGTGCTTTCTCCAAAAATATACAATACAATATTGAACATGTCAGTAACTTTTGTTTTTCTCGTCAAAAGGTATCTTTTTGCGAAATTAAAAAGTTATGTGGAGTGCAGAAATTATGAAGTCGATATAAAAGTTTTTTAAAATCACATTTCGGGAAAAGAACAATTTTGCAAAAAAGACTTGATGAGACTGAAATCATCATAATAATGATATTTTTTTGGTGGCACGGGGTTATGTTTGGGGAGGGGGCATGCACTCTACTTTGAGAGACATCAGATAAATGTGTAGATCTAGAAGTCTTCCTAATAATGCTGACACCAAAATAACAATATAGAGAGCTTGGTTTTGTTCTCATTGCGGTGAACATCTTTTTTAGGTATTTTAAATGAGGCTTAATTAATTATGTTTTAACACAGACTGCAACCGAGGTCTTCACATAAACACTAAGTTTTCTTGTTGTTCACACCGGCATACTTTTATTAATTTTGTTTTGGGGTTTTTTTTCGGTGGGGATGTGGGGGGGGGGGGGTTCTGTAACTCTAAAACAATTATTTTAAAAAATGTTG